CAATTTAATGTCGATAAACTATTTTCGTCTTTGCTGCAGATCTCCCTACGCTAGTCATTTATGATAGCGCATGTGGGCAGATCTGGCCACCTTGTGGTATAACCTTCGTGATCCATGTTATTTCTCCTATTTCTTCAGAAATCTTCAGACCTTCGCAGCCCATTTGTTCCAAAGGATATCTCCAGCATGTTCAATCAGGGATCTACTGTCCACTACACCGAGATCGGGGGTACTTGTCCCGGATCCGCGTCCTTCTCTTCAAGATCTTACTCCTCCACTTGGCAGTTTTTTTGCACGTCACGTATGTATTTTTGCATAAACATCAGCGCCCATCCTCCGATCAATAGCACCCTTGCCTGTCCTTCCACACACCTACCCAACGCGTCATGTTTGCGTTAGTAGCCCCGAGGTTACTCGTCGTGGGATTGCATCACATCGAACCTGTTTCGATTGGAGCAATCCCGCAAAACCTCGTACAGCAGAGCTCTGCAGCTCAGCTCGGCTTCATCCACTAGCTGGGTTCGTCATATCCACGCCAATGTACCAAGAACGCGCGGTAGATCCGACCGTATCTTGTACGTTTGCTCGATCGCACATCCTTGATTCTCTCCACTTCAAACTCGTCAGATCTGAGCTCTGGAGACCGACTGCCCTCTGGTAGCAAGATATCGTCAACGTCAATCCGATCTCGCTCCTCCACCCTTTTCCCCAGTCCGTCATTGCCATGATCGACCAAAGTGTCATGTACCAGCCACTCAATGTCCTGGTAGGTTGGTGTAGGTTTTGGAGGTAGAGCCTCTCCCAGCGCCTTTGCATCGGCGATGCCAATATTGCAGATTTTAAGTGCGCTTCAATGCGTTTCACGTCTGCTGCTTGTTCGAGAATGCCCGCGTTTGCTTGACCAACATCATGAAGCACATCACGACCAATGATCTCTATTTTCTGCCGCACTGTGGCTTCGAACTGCTTAGCGAGTTCCATTTGTATTCACACCAGGGTATTGAGCTGACACTCCATGGCAAGCCGCGTGTCTTGTAGCTTTTGTTGAAAACGAAGTGGTCTTGCCTGCCGATGGCGGGTGAGCTGCTCTATTCGAACTTGTGCTGACTCCTGTGCAGCTTTCAAAGCCTCCGTCTGCGTCTGAGCTGCTCTGACAGCCACCGAAGATTTGCGTTGGCCGTAGCTAAAGCCTCCCTTCGTGTCCAAAACAGATTCACGAAACTTACAACCTGTTCTTCGTAAGTTCCCATCACATCACGTGTTGCAAGATCGGCTGTCAAATTTGTAGCATTATTTTCAAGTGGTACCACAAGGGTCAGCGCTCGCTCTCCATCATGCTCCATAGCCTCTGCAGAATTCCGTTACGCCCTTGTCATAACCATTTGGCTGAACGCCATTACAGATCGCGTGCTCTAGAACGCGCCCCACAACTTGATCTCAGCGCTCAGCGTGTTCTCAAATGGCGCTGTGATCGCGTCCTCCGTGCACTTGCCCGCGGTGCTAATTATAGCTTCGGCCACACTTGACGCTCGCCGTATCCTGGGTCACGATCTCGCCATAGGTCTCTGCAGCACCCCTCCCGTTCTGGCTTACATCCACTCTGACTTTGCTCTCAGCGCCCACCAAATTTAAGCTTACACCCGCACCACACTTGCTCTCACCACTCGCCGTTCCCTTGATCCCGCCCAACCTGCACTTGCTTGCAACGCTCACCCTGTCCTGGATACGCCCTCTCTGCAGGTGTGCCTACGCCGAACTTTTTTACTGTGAGCTATGGGCCACCGATGTTTTAAAAACCAAAATTAATGTCCAAAAGTAGACGTTTGTTTGTATTTCATTTAAACAAATAAAAGAGCTTAAAAACGAGCAATGTAGATAAATAAACTCGACCTCCCTGATAACCCCGCGAGCAGTAAAACCTCGCGGGACGAGGTCGCGAGGTTTAATCTGTGAATGGTGCGACGAAGATTTCACAAAAACTGAGAGAAAGCTCGATAAAACAGCTGAACGTGAGCTCGGGCCGCTAAAAGCACCGACCCCAGGAGCAATTTCCGATGATTTGAAGACTCAAGATCAATATCTTACCACTAAATAGGGCGCTTTGGAAAGTAAGCCTTCTCGTGTTGTTGCCTTTCCTGTGGTGGACGAATCGCTAGCCAATTTAGGACTACCGTGGGAGGCTAAAAAGGCCTGTCTCAATGGGGACATGGTCAAGAGTAAGGCAAAGTGTCTGGCTAAGCTGGCGAATATTCCTCCTGACCCGAATTTGAAGTTTTTCGATGGTTGGTTGCAATCCTTCCAGAAGTGGAATGGATTCAAGCACTTCAAAATGCATGCCGAGAGCCCCGTCAGCAGAATGTCCCCGCTCAGCGACAAGCCCTACGAAAGCGCGTCAGAGGCGTTGCTCTGGCGGACATCTACAATATTGATAAAACGGGTCTATTCTACTGCCGCACCATATAAACAATCATTGCCCGGCGCCAGGTAGGAGGCTCCAAAAAGAATAAATTATCATTGTAGCGTTCACCTGCAATGCTGACATTGGTCACGCAGTGAAGCCTCGCTGCTTCTAGAAAAACCTGGCGAGCTAATTGGGTTCTATTATCTCAACACCAACAAAAGCCTGGATAACATGTGTGCCTTTTCATGATTGGGTGCGTGAACTTGATAACGTTATGACCAGGCGGCTACGTCAAATTGTTCCTCTTCTCGACAACGCTTCAGCACATATCGTTTCGAATCTGCGCTCAAGAGCATCACTACTCTCTACTTACCTCCAAATACTACTTCTCGACTGCGTCCATTAGACGCAGGCATAATTGCCTCTTCCAAGCGACGATTTTACCGCCGTCCGCTGGACCATGCGCTGGATTTGGAAGAACACAGGAACGCGGACGGATATTTAGAAAATTGACCAGCTAATCGCAATGCGATGGATTAAGGCCTGGAGGGAAGTATGTACTGAGTGTATTCTAAACTGTTTTCGTCATACCGGTCTCGTACTCGGTCGCACGACGTCACGCCGCGCATTGAAATATAAAGAAGAGCTAAGCAAGGTTCTGGAGCAGCGCGCAGCTGCCCTGAGAGTACGAGATGCACTGGATATTGAAGACTTCGTGAGCAATGCTGCAGTGCAAGAAACCGAAATGGAAATTGCATCTTCGGATGACTTGCTGAGGGATTCTGTTAGCCACGCATTGCTGGCATCAGTGCAGAGCACCCCGAAGAAGTATGTGCGTATGACAGCGATGCGGCTAAAGAGCACAGACGCTCAGACACACTGTCGCCCCAAATGGCCCTTGAAGATAAAGCTGACGCTGTTCGATCGGTGATATTCCTGCTAGCAGAACACCCTGACGTGGAAATTAGCGCTCTGAGCAGCCTACGTGTACTTCAGATCAGTGTCCGAGATGATCTACAGGAAGAAAAATATGCTGCCCGAAAGCAAACGTCGATGAGAGGTTTCTTTAGAGGCTGGTTCCTTCCAGGAAAAGCAGCGAATCGATTGGACAAAAATTGTTTCCAATATAAAAAATAATTCCCACACCAATGAATGTGGAAATTAATACAATACAGCCTTTTGAGAGCAGTATTTGATTTTAGAGGATTTGCAATATCAACGCAGGACAATCGTGGAGTCGAGGTGTGCCGGGCTGGGTCCACGCGCAGGCTGCCTTGGGGTGTGCTGAGCTGTGGCTCGTACGCACCGCTGACATGGAGCAGCAGCTCCTTCATGAATTTTGGGCTACGCGAGATTGTCTCCTCTTCTCTTTGTGTGTTTGCTCTTAGGGAAGCAAATTACTTTCCTGCCGACCAGTCCTGTGAGCTACAGAGCCACTGCCGGTAGCAATTTGACGAGGATATGCTAGTCAACAGTGATTGCAGTTGGGTTTTTTTTCGAAACCCCAAACACCGCGGCAGACAGAAAAAATTAGATATTAAATTTGGCAGATATGAAGTATTACGCATATTAAAAAGAAACGAAGTTGATTGATACTTGGCTGTATTGTTTTGATAGAATATTAATTTTCACAGCGACTAATTTGGCAAGCTGGGTCTATAATACCAAAATATATCATTTTTCGAAGCTCAACCTGCACAAAATTAAATGCGCAAGCGCTCTGAAATCAAAAAAAATATTAAAATTATTTAGTTTGATGTTGATGTCGTACGTCACATTCTTTCTTCTAGTCTGCTTGCAACATTTCCTTGGTAAGCTTTTCTGTGAGGGGGGGCTGGGTTAATACTACATAGAAAGATGAGTGCCGGTACTTTCCTTTGAAGTGTGGACAAGGGAAGAAAGTGCAAAATAGCGTCGAGCAGTAGGAGCACGTTGCTCACAACTGACAGAGAGCTGAGGTAGAGAGATCAACAGATGAACGTTGCATTACGGTAGCATAATGTACTCAATTTTAACTATCTCTAATTTGCAAATTCCTATAATTACGGTGCCATTGTTAATATCTTAGGTGATGCTCTCCGATGGTCGAGCCAGTGTTAGGCAGTGAGTCACAGGCAACATGCGCCTTTATAACTTTTACGCTTTTATTAACGATACCAGTGAGCTTTGTTAGAGTTATTGTCGAGTCTGAGCGTAATGAGAGGAATCTTACCAGGTGCAAAAATTTACACCAGTTTCTATTATGCTTTGGGGTAGATTAATTTAAGAAGGTCATATTAAGTGACGTACTTTTCCAGAATTTTTGTTTTGGGCGGAGTCTGATAACTTTTAAATAAATTTTAGAGAATTTATTGTGTTTTGCAGTTGCTCTGTTTTATGGCTTAGATCGTCATAAAACCATGCATAAATTTGAGATGGGGAGAGGCAGACATGGAGTTATTTATCTGCGCTCGTATTGCGTTTTCAAAAACACACAAAAGGATCGATTTATTGGAGATCGAGGCCCTGGAAAATCATCAATTTGTTTACCTCCTTTAAGTAAGAACGACAAAAAGCATTGAAAAGCACAATATTAACACTTCGGGCATTACTTCAATCTCTAATCTGCCTCTGTCAGCATCTTCACGGCTTGAGCTGCACTAGGCCGTCTCGATGGATCTTGCTGACAACAAGCGACGCCGATACGACGGATACGCCTCGGACAGTCCTCCGAGAAACTTGGTCGCAGCATCCCTGCCATCACGTCTGCCAAGATCTGGACTGGCTTGGGCTTCCTCCCATCCGACGTCAACGCGTCGTGGAAGGGTAGTTTGCACGTGTCCAGCTCGGACAGCACCACTCCAAAGGAATAAAGATCCGCCTGCTCTGTGTATCGCTTGCCTTCCAGGACTTCTGGAGCAGTCCAGTACGGCGTTCCGACGCCTGCGGTCATGGAATACTGCTATCGAGCTCGACTGACACCAAAGTCGATCAGCTTTGCCACTAACGCTCGAGTGAGAAGAATGTTTTTCGACTTCAGATCTCGATGGATAAGCGGGGGAGTTTGAGAATGCAGATACTGCAACGCAGTCGCTGTCCCCACGGCGATGTGGATTTTGTCCCTGGACCAGGACATCAAGTCGCCATTCTTCTGTAGATACGACTGCAGATCTCCCATGGGGAAATACTCGAGCGCCATAACCAAATTATTGAGCGAGTTCCACGCCACTCCAACAAAAGTCACGATATTAGGGTGGTTCAAGCTAGCACTCAGCTCAATCTCCTTTGCAAATTCCTCTACTTCGTGTGCGTGGTGATTATGGTGTTGTAGGAGACGCTTGACAGCAATCTGCTCGTTCTGGTACTCGCACTGCCAGACTTCTCCGTTTGCTCCTTTAGACAGCGCTCGCTTGAAAACGATACTGTCGTATGGCAAACGCTTTCCGACCAGATACTCGCTGTTGTGAAGAATGTTTAGCGTTCGATTGGAACCAGAGCCAAACTCTTCCGGGTAGGATGGCCTGAGCTGGATGGTTCGATCGACTCCTCTGTACGTAGCAGTCTCCGTATCCTCAATCGTTCGAGCTGTAGATCTATCGCGGTCAGCTATAAACTCGGGATTTTGGTAGTAAGTATCCTGACATACCGGTGATTGATGCAAGCATTCTCGATCATCTTTTGTCTGCCGTCTCCTTTTCAGGAAGACGAAGAGACCAACTAGACCGATGACCACGAGAACTCCAGCGGCAATCGGAGCAACGAGTAACACGCTCGATTTCCCATCCTCATCGCTAACTCCGGCAATCGATGAGTAGTCTTCCACAAGCCAACGAGAAACCCAGTCACTCCCAGTAACTTCTTGCTTCTCTCTGTCGATTTCTGGTACAATGCTGGCAATGTTGTGGCACGGTAATACTAGCGACCCGTACCCGCTATTTCGATCAGCCGTGGCACACTCGTCCCACCCGGGCTCGTCCTTCACGTCGATCGTGTGAACAGCAAACACAATGTAACTTTTGTTGTCGTGCACGTCCTTCCACTCGTGTTTATTTACTCGCGGAGTTGGGACGACGGCGGGGTTGCCACCAGTGACCCACATCGCAGCGTGAATGCCGGTTGCGTCATCGAAATCTTGGACGACGCATCTTGCAGCTCTGAGCATGTCGCTTCCGAGGCACTTAAAGTTGGAGTAAGAGATGCTACCACTGGGTTGAGTACACGAGTTGACGGTGCAGTTAACGGCTTCGTATTCGGATTTTGGAACTGCAAGCTCGGCCATTGAGTAGTCGTTAAGCGTCCAGATTCTCACAAACTGATTGGATGGAGAGATGCCGAAGCCAGAATCCCAAAGAAGCGCTCGTTGTGCGATACCAGGAAGTTTGTCCCAGTCGAGTTTAAGCTTATCAAGGCGGGTCTGGAGAGTTTCCGGCACCTGAAAGTTGTCGAATTTCCCCACCGTGTCTCCTTTCTTGGCTCGAAAGTAGAGCTGTTTGGCAAGGTCGGAGTTGGTCCCATCGAAGGCAAAGCCATAGCTATCCGAAGGCAACTCGGCGTTTGCGTAGGAATCCGAAGACGCAAGTTGACGTAGCTCCATTGCAACTTAATTTGGAGTGGGGCCGCCGGCTGCCAAATCTGAAATGAGCCATTTGCAATGCCAAATTCATTCACGTGAGGTGCCCGTTACTACGCTAACAATATCCACTCTGTGCAGCCATTGCGTTAGAATGATTTCGTTTCATCTACTGGTCACATCACCTGCGTCCTCACTCTTGAAGTGACGATGATAGCTCGACAATACGCTTCTGACTGTTACTAGCAAACTTGCAATAGAGACTTAAAGCTCAGAGCAAGACACCCACGGCAAAACAAATGAACAATAAAGCTGACCGCATCGATGAGACCGCAAAACAATTTATTAAAGCTGACGTAACGGCTAATCGAGCAATGGTAAAAAGTGGCAATTGCACGAAAGTAACAAGCAGGGATTCTCAGCAGCTCTTCTCCTCCTCTAAGAGCAGTGTCACCACCTCGGTAGCGGTTGGACGCGAATCTGGATTGTGTTGGCAGCAAGCCACACCAATTTGGCGGATTTTGGGAGGGCACTCCTCAGCGAAACTTGGGCGTAAGATGCCGGCAATCACATCGGCCAAGATCATGAACGGCTTAGGGATGGTACCTTCGGGCGTAAGGGCGTCGTGGTAGGGCAGTTTACCAGTATCAATCTCTGTCAGTACGACTCCGAGTGAATAAATGTCCGCTTGTTCAGTATACCGCTTGCCTTCCAGGATTTCCGGCGCCGTCCAGTATGGTGTACCGACACCAGCCGTCATCGAGAAGTCCTCGCAGCCTCGACTCACACCAAAGTCAATCAACTTGGGCTCTAACTGTCTCGTTAACAAAATATTCTTCGACTTGAGATCACGGTGAATAAGCGGTGGAACTTGAGAGTGCAGGAACTCGAGTGCCCTGGCAACACCGATGGCGATACCCATCTTATCCTTACTCCACGACAGAACGTCGGCGTGCTTGGTGAGGTACCCGTGCAAGTCTCCAGATGGCAGAAACTCGAGCGCCATGATCAAATTGGTTAAAGTGTTCCATGCGACGCCGACGAACGACACAATGTTGGGGTGGGCCAGACGAGCAGTCAGCTCGATCTCCTTCGCAAACGCTTCCACTTCCTCCGCCTTGTGATCTCTGCCTGAGAAAAGCTTCTTGATAGCAACCTGCTGACCGTCATACTCGCCTATCCAGACCTCACCGTAAGCACCCTTCGACAAGGCTCGAGTGAACGACAAACTGTCAAAGGGGATACGCATTCCAATTAAATGCTCGCTGTCGAGTAGAATTTTCATTGTCAAGTTGGATCCCGAGCTGTAGTCGACACTATACCCTGAGCTTCGCCGCTTCTGCACGCCGCTACCAAATCTACGAGACGATGTTTCCGAGTCGTCGACAGTCACATCGGTATGTAGTCCCTGTTCACTGTTAAATTTACCACTGTTGTATTGACGGGGGTCAGCATCAAAACACCTTTGGTACGCGGCATTGGGTGAAGCAGCGTTTTCCTCAACCAGGTAATGCTCCGCATTCTTGCGTCGCCTTTTCTTGACTACCAGAGCCAGCCCAACAACAACGACAACGACAACGACAACGATGGGGATGAGAAACAACATGTTGAATTTGCCACTTGAGCTACTTGCGGTTCCTCCATAATCCTCCACGAGCCACCGAGAAACCCAGTCGCTTCCTTCAACCTCTTGCTTATCGTCGACGAGAGCTTCGGTTAAGTTCGCCGTTGTGTGGCACGGCAAAACTAACGACCCGAAGCCGGCGTTTTGTGTATCTGATATCATTCCACGCCGGCTCAAAGTCTCTGTTAAGTGTGTGGACAGAGAAAACGATGTACGAGTTATTGTCACCACCATCCTTCCACATGTGCTTGCGAATTCTCAAGTCTGGAATCACCTCAGGTCGCCCGCCAGTGACCCACATTGCTGCATTGACATTGCTGTCGTCGGCGAAGTCCTCAACGACGCACCTAGCAGCCTTCAGAATATCGACTCCGGTGCACTGCTGGTTACTGTAACTTGGGGTGTCATCGGGTTGGGTACATGTGCGCTCCGTGCAATTAACCGCCTGGTACTGTGCTAGAGGAACTGCCAGGTTTGCCATATTATGGCCATTCAGAGTCCACAACTTTACTGGTTCATTTGTCGGGGAAACCCCAAAACCAGAATCCCACAACAGCGCTCGTTGGGCTATTCCAGGTAGCTTATCCCACGCAAGCCTAAGCTCTTCAAGACGTCCCTGAACCGCCGATGGTACTTTGAAGTTGCCGTACGGCGATACTGCGTCTCCAGCCTTGGCTCGGAAGTAGAGTTGTCGGGCGATGTCGGAGTGAGTGCCATCCCAGGCATAGAAGGAATCGTTTGATGGTAACACTGCGCCTTCAAATGAGGAAAGCCCACGTCGGTTGCTCGGCTGCATAGCTGACCACAGTTTGATCCGTCTCGTTGGTTGCCAAAGTGCAAATGAAGAAGGAGTTAAGCTTTTTGTCAAGGGGTCTTCAGGTACACAGGTTACGTGAAAACGTTAGCATCGTTGGTATTATAAGAACGTTGGCGGAAGATCTTAAAAAAAGGTAGACGTTTCGGACTTTGGTATCCATAACTCACTTTACTATGTTAATTCAAAAGTGAATGGGCTGTCACAACGCTCGTTTAGTGAATAGTTGTCAGCAAATTCTTGAGTTGTTTTCTACAAACAAGACTTTTCTGATGGGACCTAATCGGAACTTAGTCTGTTGCTAGTGGTCATAGGAGTTCGTTTGCTAACGTTGAATTAATACCGTGAAGGCCTAACTTCTAGCTTGCAGACAAAAATACAACTCACCGTTAGTCTACGCTGGGGGGGCTCAATTTACTACTCTCTGCGAAAGGACTGAGCACTGCGAAAACTGTTCAGTGCTTTCGCCTTTTAGTCTCACACCAACTGCAACACCAAAGATATTAAGAAGTAACAATTCGCACATACTTCGATTATTCGAGCTGAGAAGTTCAGGAAACTTGAAACGAAAACTTTTTCAAATTATAATACCGACTTTAAGGAGCGAAGGGTGAGTGTGAAATACCGAGCAACCTCCGAGTCGGCGCCACCGACCAAGAAAATCGCACAGGATTCGTCTTTCAGACTACGGAATGTGACAGTATGAGCTTGAGCGCAGCAATAGACCACTGCGTACCAGTGCGCTCCGTGTTGGCTACTTTTTTATAGATATTAATTCGAAATGAACACTGGTGATAATTTAGACGTATTAGTATAGCAGTCGCCGAGAGAGAGAGAGATTTACGTTCAGCAGGTTTTGCACTTCAAGGCCTCAAACATTGGAGAATGTGTAAGCTACGGCACTGCATGGATGCTTCTACAGTACTGATAACTCCTGAGCTTCTTCCGCAAAAAAACAAGGAGGTGGCGTTTCGTTCAAACTCGTCAATGTCTTGTGCCGATTTGTGATCACGAAGTCGCAGCTCCGGGAACATATCAGGACTCCACCCCTGACTGGATCACGAGTACTCAAAGAGATCCACCATACACCGATCGCGTAGCCCGTGTAGAATTTAGTTTAGTAGACCACAGGCAACATTCTGTTTTTCTAATGTTCATCGGATATTGCTTTTACCCAGCCACCTATTTTTAGTACCATTCATTTACGTATGGGTACTTTAATAATGAGAAGAATCAGCTCGTCTTCTCATGATTGGCACCCGGGATGACATCCGCAGCAGTGGTAATAAGCTAGTGCAAGCTTTGGATCCTTCATCACATGATCGTAATATTTCCAGCTTGACACTCGTCAACGCCAGCATATCCAGAAAAAATGTAATTTTATTAGGATTATTTCACTTGTATTTTCTTAAAACGAGCACAAAAAACAGCTGCCACAATTTAGATGCCACCTTTGGAAAATCTGCAACGCTATCTGAGACAGAGCACTGAATCGTTTTCATGGACGAAAGATGAGCTTCGAATAGCTATTGGGATAGCTCTAGCTCTTGAGTGTTTGCACAGCCGCAAGCCGTCTCTGATCCATCGTGACAAAAAATTCACCAGCATTCTATAATACTGGCGAGCACGTTGAAGCCGAAGCTGATCGACTTTGGCCTGATTAAAAAAAAAGATCGACCTCACCATGGCGGAGGGGGAGGGGGGAATTGAGACACCTTGCAGACGGCACCAGAAGTGCTGGAAGGAAAACGGTACACCAAGAGGGCGGATCTCTACACCTTTGTGCACTCAAATTCGTTCTAAACGGCAATCAAATCCGTGATGACCAATTCAATTACGTAAATTTGTGAGTTTCAATTACCAAATCTGCAAACAAATTTGTTCTTACTGCACACAAATCCGCTGCTGCATTACAGCTTTACTGCAATGCAGTTCCATTCGGGAGACCAACACAGGGGTTATCCACTCATGTTGTGCTTCGCAGTCTTTTCCAGAAGACGCATCTGCCGCTCAGCAATGGAGACGACCTCTTCGTTTTAATTCGGATCCCGGGTGCGGTCGCATACTTCATCTCGGAATATCGCCCATTCGGTCTTGATATGAGCCTTCAAAACGCTGAAGCACGCATCGATGGGGTTGCACATTGGGGAGTACGGCCCCAAGCGCAGCAACTCCATGTCAGCGTGCTTAGTGACGCGATCCTCGGTCTGGTGATGCTCAGGAGCATTGTCCATGACGATCATGCCCTTCTTGCCCATATGCATTTAGTACTTCCTAAACTCCTCAGACGCCTTGACAGCCGCGTAAATCTCCTCCACAAAAGCAGCATTCTTGTCCATACGAATGCTGCCATGTCGAAGTCGGTAGGTGACGAGTCCAATGCTGAACGACACAGCACACTGCACCTGCAGGTTCGCGTCTTTCGAAGGCGGCAGCTTCAGGACAGCACGCTTTCCTCGCTTAGCGCGTCCTTTTTTACGCTTCAAGTGCACAATAAAATTGGTTTCGTCATGATACACAATACATTTACATTGTTCTTGGTGTTCTTTGAGCTGTTTAGCAAATTGTTGGCGCTTTAGCAGGTTGACTTCGTTGTTGCAGGCTGTAGCTCGACACGCACTTGTTTCACAGTGTACAACATGCCGATGAGGTGACGGCTGATGGTGGTCGTGCTAACCTTAACGCCACAATCGAGAAACAGCATTGTATGCAAGGTTTCGAGGCTGTACGTACAATTTTCGCTAAGGTGCTGCTCCAGATACGTTTTAGCCTCCTCCGTCATCTTGGAATGCTATACGCCACCACGGGGAAGGTTTTCAGCTCGCCCTCGAGCAATCAGGTCTCGAGCAGTTGAAGGGGTAAAACCATTGTTCGCAGCCACTTGGAGCCAGTCTGGGCGTCCGGACTGGTACGCTTCCAGGACACGCTGCTTTTCAGCACCAGTATGATGTTTTTATGGGGGCATCTGCGTAGTTGAGGGTGAAACGAGAAATGAGAGTACGTCGGCTGACCTTGCTTGTCTTGGACGCGCGGTTTTGGCGCGAGTGCAGCACAACCTTCAATTTTGGCGCGCACGGATTTATGTGCAGTAAAAACGAATTTGTTTGCAGATTTTGTAACGGGGTACGTAGCCCTAAGTGTACCCTGGCTACATGAAGTGTGACACGTCATACTTCGGGATATTTGGTACAAAGTATCAAGGTCGTCCAAAGCCAACCATTGGTTGATGACATTGCATTTCTATAGGTGACTTATAGTTTGAATTTAACCCGAGCTTTATCTACCTATAAATAAACTCAGTTTACATTCTACCTTAAATAGGTCACTCCGCTCTTTTTTAATAAAGAGGGGACCTGTGAACTGCCGTTCACTGAGAGTTTGTAAACTCTCGGAAGCTAACTTCCTCTAGAGCAAGGTGCTGTGTGACCCCGTCACACGTAGTAGCACTCGTAGTCAATCCACGCCACCGCGGGTAGAGTACCTGAGCCTCTCCGAAGTTCGTTGCCATGGATAGGAACGACTTCTCCCATATTAACGACTCTCAGTTCGAGTTGGTTCGGAAGATGGCAGGCATCTTCGGGATGGAGGCCCTGCAGAGCCTGGTGGTATCAACACCGGCCGAGCAGCTCGAGCGCGTCAATGCGTTTGACGCGTACGAGCAGGAACTCATCGCGCATGTGCGGGAGAACCTGCAGGCTCCGGCGGCGGAAGTAAATTCGCCTCACCCGAAGCCAATACGGCTGAAGGTTAAGCCGTGTGAAGGGAAGGAAGGCGAGAACCTTCAATTCTGGGTCCGAGAAGTAGAGCTCGCGATGGACGCGGCTCTGATCTCGACCGAGCAACTTCGTGTTGCTTTTGCACTCTCCAACCTTAGCGGCCGTGCTAAGAGTTGGGTGTACACACGGGAGGCAACATCCCCTGGATGTTTCACATCCTGGGCTCAGCTGTGTGAACAGCCTCGAGCCGCGTTCCTCCCGGTGAACTACGAGTACCGCCAGCGTTCGCGCTTCCTCTCGTGCAAACAAGGGAGGCGTGAGCTGCACGAGTACGTGCAAGAGATACGGGAACTTACGGCGTCCCTAGTGGGAAACCCACTCAATGAACACATCAAGATGAATGTGTTCATTTACGGCCTTCGAGTGGACCTCGCACGCACTCAGCTGTTCCGGGTGCAGTCAAACACCCTTGAAGAGGCGATTCAAGTTGCTCTTCAAGAAGAGTACAGCCATCGCCAGGCGCGTACGCCGGCCTCAGCGTGGCCTGGGAGTTTCTTGTCGGCTCCCGGTCGAACAAGCCCCAACGGACCAGCTCCCATGGAACTCGGGTCCGCCGAATAGCGTGACATCCGCTGCTTCGGCTGCAGGAAGATGGGCCACTTCAAGCGCGACTGTCCCGCGGAAAGACTCCGCAGACTGTCTTTCCCCAAGCCTGTCCTCAAGGGTCGCTGGCAGAAGCCAGGATCCCGGGGACAGGGGAACGCCGGGAACCAGTAGGGGCGGGGCGCCCTACTGGGGAAGAACTAAGTATTCGTGATGGGTACGCGGGTGGCGCGTACCAACGAGACTTAGCCCCTGAGAGTCTTCGCACTCTCGAATCGGCGAAGAGCAGCGGCGGGTTGCTCGTAGTACACGGATGTGTACGGGAGACGATCATCCCTTTAGAAACTTGATCGATTCTGGGCCGTCGAAGAATTTTGCACGCCGCCAGACGGTTGCTCGTAGCAGCAACAAGTTGTCCGATGCTTTGAGAGAAAGCAAGGGCAACAGGACGGTGTCAGTGCGACTGGCCGACGGGAAGGTCGTCACTGTCCCCAACGTCCAAGTGGATCTGGCCGTCAAGTTTGAAGACTTTGACAGCCTCGAAAAGTTCACTGTTCTTGACATGGATCCGTACGATATGATCCTGGGCATGGCCGGGCTTGAGAAGCACGAGCCCTGGATCGACTGGCGAGGCAAGGCATCGGTGCCAGCCGCCCTGCGCAG